TTAAACACAAGAAACCTATGATATAAACTCAACTGATATTTTATAATAAAGCTCTATTGGATTATAAAACCCTACCTAACATTTGAAAAATACTTATACAAGTTTTGGGGAAAATATTTCAAATCAAGATCACAGTGTATTTGTTCTGTGCCCTCATAAATTTAAGGAAAACTTTGTATTTTCTGAATATTGTTTTATTGAAGATAACGAGGTTAGAGATTCAGCAGGCAGAGCTAAAGACAGCAAAGTCAGCAGATGTTCTAAAATAAGCTGAATTACGTGGGGAGAGGGTCCCTCGTCCTGCTCTGAGTGGGCTGTGGAACTGGGCAGCAGGCACAGGAGGGTGCACACCCCGCCCCACCGCCCAGCAGTGATGTCACCAAGCACCCTGCGCTCTAGGAAGACGGCGCCCCTCACCAGAGACGTGGAGGGCAAAGTCCACACCGCGTCTTAGTGCTGTAAGGAGACAATTTTGCTCTCACAGACCCCGAAAATGGTTTCCTCAAGTGCTTCCTGAGCACGCTGGGAAAAGTCCTGTCCCAGAATTCACAGTTCAGAGGACAGGAACTTCCAATCGCGTTCCTTTCCATGCATATGATGCCCGTATGTGTTTTGGGGAGTCGGATAACCAGTGATTCTCGCCATAATCCTGCATCTTTGGATTTTTATGAGGTGGAAATGACCAACCACTTTCTTTGGCCTCATAGGTAGGGCCTCATAGCTTGCCCAAGTTTACACATCCATCAAAATCAGGAAGAAACACCCCAGGCTGAAAAGCCAAATGGAACAATCCCTCTGCAAAGCTGTTTTCTCCCCAGCATCCATCACATTCTGCAAAGCAGCCAGGGTGTTCTGAACGTGTCAGGAGCTCAGTATCAGAACAGAGAGGGCACGGGGGAGCCCATTAAGAAGACGGCAGAGCATATACAAACACAACCAGCCACGTGGACATCAGTTGTCCCTTTTCCTAACTTGATTAAACCCATCTTTCTCTTTCCTAGCCTCACTCAGAGCTAAGTGGTGGTTTCCGTAATTACAGGCAATTTCCAGCTTGCCTTTCTTCACCCAGCACCCATCCATCCACCTGGAGTACACAGGTCTCTCCTGTCACTTTCCCCGTCAAGGATCAGGTACTTTGTAATTATCCCCACCATAGAACATGTCTTTGTCTTTCTCCTGTCTTAGGAATATCAGCTTGTAAAAAGAAAATTTAGAGGACAGATATTTTAAAGATTCTCTTTTTGCCTTTTGTGACTGTATTCTCAAACTACTAAAAAAACAACAAAAATATTTAACGCAGAACTCAATGCAAATCCATTTCCTTTAACAAGAAAGTTTAGAAAACTATAATTTATTGGGGGAAATGATGCTTAAACATGATAACCCTGTAAATGAATTGCTTGTTACAATCTTTGAAGTAAATTTCTCCTAAGAAAAATGATGACATACTTTTGAGGAACTATATCATCAATTATTAGTAAAGATGATTGTCAAATAAAATTTATTGGGATGTTTACTGTTTGTAAAAAGACAAATAACTATGCAGGGAAATAGATTACGATCACCTTCAGTTTAATGAACAATACCTTCAGGAATTTTTTTACATTGAAAATTTAAACTGAGCAAACTAAATCAATATATCGAATTGGACAAAAACACTTGAGAGATGATGTTCTTTTTAACAGAGGGAAGCACCACTGTGTGCATGGTGTAAATCCTTCTATCCCCTCCCCATGAGGACATGAGTAACAGAAGGAAAATGTTCTGATGAGAGGGAAAGGGGTTGTGAGAACAATCTTTCGACCTTTCCCACAGCAGTGGGAGGTCGTTTCTTTTTGGAGAAGAAACGATGCATCCAGGGAATTGAGAAAAATGCCCAACCTGGGATTAACTGGCAAAAACCCTGCGCTAGTGAGCAGCATCTGGGACAGTAAATTACCAGGATAAAACAAGTGGCTCTATCGATGTGAGCAGATTTAAAGGGTGTAAACAGCTGCGAATACTGCAGGAGCGCTCTCAGAGATTTTACAGAAAGGTGAGAAATTAAAGGTAAGGGTAGCAAACCTGTGCAGAAAGTACTGAATGATTGGATTTCTTGTAGGGTCTCCTTCAGACTGGCTACAACAGAATTCAAATGAAATCCCTAAAAAGGATTTCACAAAGGATAATCATTAAAGGCTTCTCCAGAACCAAAGAGATAAAGAAGGGAAAGAAGAACTTCCCAGAAGTGCACAAGGTGATCTGGAGAAATGATAATAGTGGGAGGGAAATTCCTAGCCAGAAAATGCAGTTCCCAATGACATAACTGAGAAGGAAGAGATGAACTGTTCTGGAAGCCAACAGAGACCCAGAGTCTGTGTTTGAACCTGGGAACCATGGAGCTCATTCTCAGAACCAGTTCTTATTTTATTTTTAATTGAAGAATCGGTTATTTCCTCAAGGAATACCTTGTAAGCTGCCAGCCCAACATAAGTAGATGGTAGATGGGACCTGAACAGGAGGAATGAGGTCCTTTCTCTCTGGAACTTATAACAGAAAATAAAGTCTTCTTAGGCAAAAGTTGCTTTAAAAAAAAAAAAAGAAAATTTGCCTGAGTGGACCTTGCTACAAAAAAGCATGGTGGAACTCAAAAGTGGCAAGAAGCAGTAAGATTGAGTAGTGTAAGTATAAAATCAAGATGAAGCACTCCACCACCTTGTTGTCTAATACTATTTAATAAAGGAACAAAAAGGTCCTGCTTAGTAGCTCCCAGAACTATCATCTCCAAGATTGGCACCCATAAAACAACCAGTGTTTATAATCATGGCTCTCAGTGAAACACACACACACACCACTCACACATGCACGCAAACACATTAGCATATATTCATCATCTTCTGCTTATAGAGAAATAAAGCAGAACCCATCTTTAAAAATGCCCATAAACATAGTTGAAATAAAATTTTGTTGCTGAAAGAAGTTATGGATCTTTCAATATATACATATGTTTTATACAAAATTTTATTTTTGTTTGATTAATTTAAAAATTAAACATAATGAAAGAGTATGTGAATCAAATTTTACTAGCAATATGAGATGCGGGAGGTCTCCCAACCTTAATCTGACATCTGCTTTGCATAATCTGCTGCCAAGGGTTCCACTTAAAGGTGACACAGGCAGAGATCACCCTAAAGACAGAGGACAAACTCCTGGGCACCGAGCTCTCACTTATTACAGGCACGGTTTGCATTTTCTTCTGTGGTAGTTAGTGCCCTGGAGGACCTGCAGATGCCCAACACATAGCATAAAGCAGGATACAGCTTGGCATCTCTGCTTTCATTTTATCCATCTTCTTTAATACCTTAAAGCTTGGGTACAGAAATCTTGCCAGTTCTGCACGTAGATGTGCTAATCCCTCAAGGAGTGCCTATCAAACAATGTTTATTAGCCCTAAATATATCTAGCCTATCTCATATCCCTTCATACTGAGGAATTTTCAGGAACGTGCAATCATCGACTTCCACAATGTCCAATTGCAGACCCAATTGGAGCAATGTCTGGAAGTGTCCAGCCATCGTCCTACACCTGTAATCACCTAGAATTCCAGGAAATGAAAGCCTTGAAGACCGCCCATGCTGAGACCACCCCCAAGCAGGAACCATCATCTCAGGAAAAACAAATTGCTCCTCAAGCTATAAGGATTCCTCCAGAGCTACAAAACCAGGAGTGAGACGATGGGCAACAGCAGCCAGCCCGGTGAACTGGCCTGTCCTGCGTGATTGGGCCAGTCTGGTCCACCTCATCGGAACTGTGCGCCCTTTAGTTCATGGAGAGTGTCTCAGCTTTAATTCCATTATCATTGAAGCAAGGACCTGTGCTAGCTGGTGACAGAAGGCACAGGTCATTTATGCTGTGGTCAGTGAGGCAGGTGGACAGTGACATCACACAGCAGGCCCCAGCTCAGTGGCGGGCAGTCAGCAAAATAAGATCCTGAGGGAAGATCAGCAGGAGAACCAATCCAGGAATTCAACTTCACTTTTCAGGTGGATTTTAGAAGACAAAACTTCCAGGAGAAATCTACCCTGCTAAGGAGGGAAAACTGTCCTTGTCTCCACCAACCAAGGTCATCCATGCTGTTCCCAGGCTCCCCTGCAGCCAGGAGAAATTCATGTGGAAGGGTGGCATGAAGGGCCACTGCCTTGCCAGAGAGGGCTGTCGCAGAGGGACTCATATACAGAAAGATTTCCCAGGGAGTCTGGCCGTGAGATGCCATCCTCAATCTAAGTCACCAGACAGTTCTAACACCAGAACTAGTCATTCCACATACGAGTGCTTGAGGACGAACTTTTCTGCCAGGCTGAGTCAAACATCAAAGTTGATGTTCAGAGATGTGCTACGGAATTATAAGGAGAAAGAGCTCCTCTGTGCCCCACTGCGATCTGTAGAATCTCATCCAATTTTCTGTATCACTTTTTGCTCTTCCTCAAATCTGAGGTTCTGAGGACAGGGACACGTCCTGCTGCTTAGGCACTGCTGTCCCAGCCCTGCCCTGTCCCTGCAGCTCCAGGCAGAAGGAATTAGTGTTCTCTGGGCTGGGCTCCACCAGCCTCTCCCACTGCTCTCGTTACCGAGAAAGACTGCATACAGTGTGAAATGAAGGCCTGCCAGTAAATTACACGGGTGTTGCTTAGGCAGTGTGGGAAGGAAAGCTGCAGGGAAAAGGCAGCGCAGGTAGAGTGAAACAGGGTGTGACTGGGAATCCCAAATGCAGGATTCGAAATTAAAACAGTGGCTGTTTTATAACACACAGGAGCGAATTGACCACTGCTGATGGAACTTCTTTGCCTGAAGTTATTTCTTTCTTCTCCCTCTTTATTCATTAAAAAGACACTAAGGTGTCTGAAGGAAAGAAAAAAGAAAGGAAGGAAGAAAAAAAGTAGTTAAAGAATGAGCGAAAGAGGGAGAGAGGAAGGAATATTTTCTTATATTACTTCCAATCTTGTTACTAAAAACTTGTATGGTTTATTTAATATGAATCTTGCAGGTCATAACAAAATTGTTTTATCTGGTTCAGGATGTTGCATTTTCTGTGGAGTGTCAGCTAGAAGAAAAAAAATGTAGTAAAAAGATGAAATACGAGGGGACTCAAGACAAACAAAAATTATTTTAATTTAAAGGATTCAGTGATTCTTTCACTCACTGGATAAACTAAATGTCAAAAGTACTCTCTTAGCTCACTGCTGGGTTGATGATCTATAGAGAATGCGGACATTACTTACATTTAATAGGATTGTTAATCATAGTGTAGTGTTCACATCCTAGACCTAGGGACTGGGTCTAGTTACCATTACTTGCCATACAATGCATTCAAGAAATGTAATTTTAGAAAGCAAAATGTACACTGTGAATGTATTTCAACTTCTATTTTCCCCAGTGGACTGAAGGGAGCAAAGTTATGTAGGGTGCATTGGATGTGGGGTTTTTCAAGGAACTGAAGACATGAGGAAGCATCTTAGTAAGACTGGGTTGGCAAACTGCAAGTTAACAGATTTTTAGATTCTTTTTCTTTTTTCTCCTCCTTTCCATAAAAGCTTGATTTGTAAGAAAACTATATCTGCTAAGAAATTAAAAGGGAAGGAAAATCGTTGATTTTATCATCCTCAACTCTTAGTCCTGATTTTTTGTGTATTTTATTGGCAGATAGAAGGCACTAAAATCTGAGAGTGCCTCATAATGGAACAATCAAAAGCTGATAATAACCATAAGGAGAAGAATGAAGAGCTGAGCTTTGCAGCAGCCATTGTGGTGCTGTATGCACTGCGTACAAACGTCTAGATTTTATTTCATTTTATTTTGGTACTGGGGATCGAACTCAGGTCCTTGAGCTTGTGAGGCAGGTGGCGGAACCACTGAGCTAAATCCCCAGCTAGATGAGATTTTAAAATTCAACCCTTAGTGAAGATACCAACTCGATCAGTCCCTTCCCCTGCTCCTTCCCTAACACTACTAATATTCACTGTATTTGGAAGCATAAACCCAGAAGACAAAGGAATAGAGAAAACACAACAGAGAAAGCTAGAGAGCAAGCAAGCAAACAAACATGGACCCTGATGAGCAGAGGGAGTCTGAGGAAATCGAGTCCTGGACTAATAGGGGCAGAAGAAGCAACAATAGCCAGACGCACTCACAGAATTCCAAGCACCTGGACATCCACCTCACCCTGCCGGATTCTTTTCTGCCAACAATACTGTCCCTGTCGGTGCTGTGCTGCTGCTGAGAACCACTGACTCCTCTTCAGCTCCTTCCAAGTTCATGTCAGCTGCCCCACACTCCTGACCCCATGCTCCTCTACTGATCATGTGACCCAGCCCCGGCCAATCAGTGTACATTGTCCCAGTGAGGGTTTGACACACTTCCAGGCACAGAAATGTGTGCATGGATGGGTATGTGATGACAACCTCAGAGCAGAGGGACTGGCTGAGGAGGAATATGCATCCTGACGTAGAGATCTTGGAGCGCTGCCCAGACCTGGTACAAGGTGCGCTTACTTCAGTGGAGGGGTAGTTTTTGACCACCCTATGCCCCCAGCACTGGAGATGACTGTGCTCTTCCAGCCCAGCACAAGGTCCTCTTTTCTAAGGAAGTCACAAATGCTGTTTGCCAAGACTCTGATTTGCCCGACCACATCGCCCTAGAATATCTTAAAACCTAAGTGATCACCAGCACATCTGCAAATGTTGCCATCAGCTAGTCAGGGCAAGGGGATCCCACTTCTCTCATGCCACTGGTGCCACCTTCATTTCCTGTGCAGAGACACTAATGCCCCAGATGATGTGAAACTGCTGGCCCCCTGCTCTGTGGAGCGTGCCATCCGGTGAGGAGCTCAGGGCTGGAGCTTGTTAGATCTGCCCAGCGTCTGTCTCTCTGTCTGTTATGCTAACCAAGTGTGCAACTCGAATGAATTCCAGTGTGTCCGGGTGCCCAAGACCACCATCAGGTCCAGTAACTGAGTCTGGGAAGACTCGCAAGACTCACTATAGCATCAACTCCTAACTATGATTATGAAGACAAAGGTGCAGAAGAGGCAGCTGAGGGGAAACCTGGAGAAAACTTCCAGAGCCTTCTCCAGTGGAGCCATACAAGCAGAACTCGGTTCCTCCAGCAACGTGTGACCTGTGTCCCTCAGGGAAACGCAATGGAGACTCAGTGTCTGGGGTTTATTGAAGGCTGGTGAGGATGGCAACCTCTGCCTGGACACCCCAAATTCCAGAGCCCTAGAGGAAAGCATGTGATCACATAAACCATGTGATCACATAAACCATGCTGTTGGCATCAGTCATTCTGACATCAAAGCCATTCCTCATAGGGAATGGTGGGACTCACTTGCGATCCAAGTTCCAAGACTCATTTGAAGGGAGAGCGTCTTAGGACCGCCCTCTGGACTCTTTTCTTCACACCTCAGGAGTGTGGAATCTCCAGAGGAAGGAAACACAAAGCAAGTTTAATCTCCATTTGACACAAAACTGAAGGGATGTAAGCCTGGAACTTTAGGAGTTCTAAATCACCAAGACAGTAGAGTTTAGCTTCTTGGATTTGACACAGTAGAAGACAGGAGGAGGAGATAGGAAGAGACAAAGCACATCCTCTGAGCACACAGACATAGCCACACCTGCAACTCAGGTATTTCCTTTCTTTTTTTTTTTTTGTCTCTGCCATATACAATTTTTCCACTGCCAAAGAAAGAGATCTTATTTATTTACTCCATATAAACAAGGCCTCTACATCATCACTGTCTCCTCATCCTCATCATCCTCATCATCACCATCATCATCACCATCACTGGCTTGTGAATTGAACCCAGGGCCTCACGCCTGGTGCGCATATGCTTTGCTGCTGAGCTACACCCCAAAATTTACAGGACTATGCAGTCTTTCTCGTAAGACAGTGTGATTCTTAGAGAACAGAAACAGACATTGAAAAAAAAGGGTTAAAGGAAGAACTAGCAGAAGGAAGAGATAGAGGAATAAGAAAATTGAAAGAGGTAAAATCTGAGAAATTGGAAGAGTTTAAATGGGGAGCCAGATGATGTACATGAAATCCTGTCTTGCACCCCAAAGGATGCCATCTGAGACTTCACATGCACCTCCAAGGCCCTTGTAACTCTGAAATGAGAGCTTTCTCTTTAAAACATCATCCTTAGGAATAAAGAATTATTAATTGGCTGGTGAATGGTACAAGCAGTAGGTTTTGTCAAAGAAGCTTGTTCTAAGTTGATACTCTCGGAAATTATTTCTAAAAAACAATAATGAAGTAGACTTCATGCTTGAGGAGTACCCTGAGTGTAGGTCTCATGTTGGATTTTTATAATCTTTACATACATTACACACTGGCCTTATATTTTTCCATCTTCCTCTATCTTGCCAAAGAAGGAGGAGGAGGAGGAGGAGGAGGAGGAAGAGTTGTTCTCGTCCTATGGTCCTGTGTTCCTGAGAAGCTTCTTTTAGAAAAATTAAAATGGCTGCGTCATCTCTGGCGTTTGAATGAGCCAGTGTTCAGAAATGCAGACCTGAGAAGAGAAGAACAAAGCCCAAATGATATTTCCCAAACCTGACCATCATTTGGACACCTTTTAAATGATGAAGTAATACTCTGATGCTCTAAGAATGTGTCCCACATTGCTACTGTAACAAATCCTGGGTTACAGGTCATTCAAGGAGGTCTGGCTGTGGCAGTGTCACAATACCAAGGACAGAGAAGTGACGGGCTTAGGGTGGCCCCGTGGAGGGGAACATGAAGCACATGTAGGGAACAGCATGGGCACCTCCAGACCCTCTGAGAGAGGAATATGGTCCCAAGGGAAGTGTAAGCCAATTTTTCAAATAACAGAAATCTAGATTATATAAATTTATTGATTTTTAAAAATTTTGTATAACTCTAGTCTTTTTTACACTGTATTGACTAAAGAGAATTCCTTTGAGGTCCACACTGCAGCCAAGATTGAAAAATTCACTTTAGGGCGTCTTTGACATGAATGAAGATTGGAACAAAATGCTGAAACTGAAGTCACAAATGCTGCTCAATTGCGGAGTCTGTGTTATGTCACTGCCTAACTCATTCAGGTTTTCTTCTTGTCACTTTGGGGCTTGATGTGGGAAGGCAGGAGTCTCAGCTCCTGGCTGATCTGGGGTCCCAACCTCCTCCATCCTGTGGCTCCTGGGGGCTTCTTGTCCTGAGGGCTTTGTCCTCCTCTGGTGTAGTCATTGATGGAGGAAGGGAGAGTATGGGTTGGATCCCATTTATCACCGCATGAGTGACTGGACTTGATGCTAAGTTATTACACAGATTTCCATTACATCAATTACTAGTGCACTTAAACTCTCAAAGAATAATTTTACTTGAGGCTCTGAGTTTTTATTTGTCAATTTATATACACTTTTACTGGATACTTATAGTTCATCCTTCTTAAATTGCTTCCTCTACATATTTTCTAATTTCCACTCAATTTTTCAAATGTGGAGTTCATTTTTTTAATATGTATATAATCAGGATATACTAGCAGGACTGTATTAAAGCCCTCACAGACACTGCCTGAATTAGACGTGGTGATCACTTGCCAGCACAATTGTGACAGAGAAGGTAGAAAATACAGCTTTTTGGCTGTTTTCATTCTGTTTGGAAACACTTCACTCATGAAAGAAAGGACCCATCAGTATGGAGCAGGTGTGTGTCAGAGATTGTTTTATGCGCTCAGTGTTTCTCTGTCTTCCTAGGCTCACAGCTGGCTCACCAGGGAAGCGTGCGACTCAGTCCTGGCTCACGGCCTGTGTGCCACATTCCCATTCCTACATGACCCTCCTGCTGTAGCTCCAAGCGTCTCCTAAAACTCTCTGTCCTATTCTGTGGCCCAAAGCAAGGAAATCAGCCAACGCCTCTGAGGTCTTAGTGGCCCTGAAGTCTCAGGATGGGGCCAGTCGAAGTTCCTAGGTGACATTTGTGACAGTGTGAATACAGAGGGGATGACAGTTACCAGGAACATAGGTTACAGTATCTCTTCCAACAGAAGTTTGCCATTTTCAGTAATCAAAGTCCCTGTAAAAGCTTTGAAAAGCTTCCATCAAGGAAATGCGGTAAACTCCTTTTTCTATACATACTAATGGGTACTGTATTGTTTGCATATTTATAACCCTTTTGACAGAAGAAACATTTCTTATTTATGGGTCATTTACTTTACTGTGTTAAACGTGGGAGATGCAGAGCAAATGGCTAAATGTTACTTACAGCAAATATGTGTGAGCTATAAAAGATCCGTCCAGTAAGTGCAGTCAGTGTGAATTCCAAAACATTTCTCTCCTCCAGTTCCAGAGAATGATCTTGGAATCTTTTGATAACTGGCCTTTCTCCATGATCGGCATTTCTAGTTCACTTGTCCTACCATTCTCTAGATACTAATCACTCTCCACTTTTTATGCAGCAGGAAATGTCACAGAGGTGGCAGAAACTACTAAATGTCATCCCTGCAACTGATGCCATGTTCTTCAGTGGAAATCTCCACAATACAAAAAACTGATTGGGCCTGAACTTTGATTTTCTGATTCTTTTATATTTATCATGAGGAAAATTCAAGATTGTCTTTTGGAAGTATTTTATTTGCTGTCATAACTAATATGACCCCACGGTTAGGAAACACCTCACGCCATCATCTCCCGTGTGTTAATTCTAATGTCGACTTTAAGTGAGGCAGGTGAAGTCAAAGGCAAAATAGTCCAAGAGGTACTCTTTTATGACTATGCAAAAGTCATCAGCAGTAGTAGGTACACAGCATAAGTGTACACTTCATCAGGGTGAATGCTGGTAGATCTGGGTCTCTGCTCCTTCATTCCACATTGCTGGGAGCTTCATATTCTGAGTCTTCTTTATTCACTTATAATAAAAGCCAACACAGTCTCACCAGGCCTGATAACCACATTAGACTTCTGCAGAGAAGCACTGCAAAATTGTAGAATCAGTTCCTTTGGCCGACAGTCACACAGGAGCGCAGCAGATGTGTGGGTGACTTGCGTTTGATCTTGTGGTCCTATCGCTGAATATAAATGTCCACTTAGGTGGTGCATTATCTCTGTACTGTGTGACATTCTCAAGGAAGTGCGGGTCTCATTGCTTTAAGCACACAACAACACCTTGTCAAGATCATGTGCTAGGAGAGGAGCCCATCACAGTAGATGGTTAGGAGCTGTTGATTTACATGGTTGGCGTCTACCCCTAGCTTCACGGTTTGAGCTGAGTCCACATAGTTCAATTCAATTGGTCTCCATGACTGACCAAGTCAGATAACCCATGACTGTCAGTGTTAGCTTTGCTCTGACTGTAGAGACCAGTTGAGGACGGCAGGGAACCTGCACTGGTCAGGCAGTGAAGCCAAAGCACTTCCTGTGCTGGGGGAGGGACTTTCAGGACAGAGTGGTCCAAGGCATCCAGGAATTGCAGTAACAAGAGGGTCAAGATGACCTGTAAAGATGGTGAGAGAATCACAAAACATTGAACCTGGTCTTGGCTGAAACATTGGCTCTGTGATTCTCATTTCTCTCATTTGTAAAATAGGGCAATTGTCACCTGGAATAGATGATTAGTGCAAGAAAGCACCCACTAAGCCTCAATGGCTCAACACAGGAAAGACTTATTCCTCACTCGCAGTCCAAGGTCAGCCAGTGAGTGGGCTTATCTCCATGGGGACCACTTTCTGGCTCCTCTGTCTTGTAGGTGAGGCAGAGGCCTCCTCTGGAGCATCTGCAGCCAGCAGATAAACTGGGGGAGACAGGATATGGAGGATGGAGCCAGAGGCTTGATGAATCATCACTTGGTAATGATAACAACATCACTTCTACATATTTCCCACTGGCCAGCAATTACTTTACCAATGAGGAATGGTGTGTAGGTATGCACTCAGGAGGAAAAGGAAAATGGTTTTCTAAACTTGAAACCAGTTTGTGCTACAATTACATCATTTACCTTTGGGGCTGGTGGAGAAGATGAGGGGAGACACTGCAGGTCTGTGTATCTTAACCACAGCACCTGAGACAGGGGGACCAGGCCCTGCGGCACATTCAGCAGCATCTCCGGGGTCTCCCCATTAGGTGCCGGATCATCTCTCCAGTTTGCCAACCAAAACTGCTCTAGATACAGTATTGCCAAGTATGCTCTGAGGGCTCAATTAACCTCACTTGAGATTCACTGATGTAGACAAAGTGCTTCCTACTACATCCAACATGGAGCCTAATAAACACGCTATTGGTATTAGGTGTGAGAACTAGATGCGGTTGTTTTGTAGGGCCATTTGCAACATGAGATAAACTTATAAAGTAATAAGATAAAGTAATACTGAAAATGGTGATCACAATATATGGGGAATGTATACATTTTAAATTATAGTAAAAAACACTTTGCATTTAATCTCTCTTCAAACACTCCCCTCACTTTGAACATATTTATCCCATTCTTCTTGCCTGTTTCTGAAGCAGTTCTGAAAGGTTTCTTTTGTGATTGTCTTGAAGAAATATGATCAAAAACATGGTCCATGCTGCTGCTAAGTGCCATTCAACAGAAAGCCAGCCTCAGAAAACACTACTGTGCATCCTCATCTACCCTATTTACTGTATCTGGGACCTTGAGACTTCTGGCTCATGCCAAATCAAAGTGATCGTGAAAGGTAAACTTTTTGCATCCATTCAGGACATTGAGGCAGCCACGAAAGCACAAGTGATGAAACTCAGGAAAGAGGACTCCAGAGCTGCTGCAGGAAGTGGTGAGAGCGATAGGATAAGCATGATCAAAGTGTGGGGCCATATTTGGAGGGAGATTCATGGCAATGTGTCTTTTACTGAAACACTTTTTTAAAAAATGTAAACATTCACTGTATTTTTCAGTCACACCTCATATGTTGTTAGTGCTGTTGGTGGCGTCATTATTATGATATCAACTCAAACTTCATAGATATGACATTTCCTTGTTGGATAGGAAAACTAGCCATTATATAGCTACTTACTCATTACATTTTCACAGTAGTTTGATAGGATTTCCCATAGAGATTGCTTAACACAGATGATGAAAAATGCTATTGCAAGGTGGGTATGAGGGAGACAGCCCAAAGTGGAGCACTTTATAATCTCTAAATCGTCACTGTGGGATTAATGTGCAGATGGATAATGGATCAGAGAGATAGGTAGCAGATGGAAAAAGAGCAAATATACATTCCAGTTTCCTAGACTAACTAACAGCCCCACTCACCAAGGCGGCCACTAAGGCTCATTTCAAGTGTGAGTAGTGCTCATTTCAAAGGAACTCCCCTCTCCTTACCAATGGCCGCCAGCATGACAGAATCCCCCCAATTGTTTCTGCGAGCCTTCCACCCTGAAGTCAAGGACTGAGATTCTAGAAGCAGAGCCAGGAAAATTCTTATGATTCCTTCCAGCCTTGATGGCTCCCATCTACGCATTGAAGAGTGAATCAATCAGACCATCAAAAGTGCTAAAGCTGTCTGGAAATCCCTCAGTCTGCACACCCTAGAAAATGATCTTCCTCAAAGAACATGCACCAGGCAAAGAGTGTTGAGACAAGATTCTCTCTGCTCTAAAAACCCTTGTCAGAGAAGCTGAGCCAGTCCCAGCAACTGGAAGGAAGCTCCCCCCAACCCCGCCCCGCCGCCATCCCAAGCTCCTAGGGCAGAGAAGGTGAGCCAGTCCCAGAACCCAGGAGGAAGCTCCCCTGCTGCCATACCAAGCTCCTAGGGCAGAGAAAGTGAGCCGCATGGGAGCCAGAAGCACCCCCCCACCCTGTAGAAATGAGAAGACATGTAAATCAAGCCTCAAAAACAGACTTCTGGATCACCTACAGCAACCCCAAAGGGAAACGAGATGGAACAATCTGATACTCAACCACCTGGACTCTCTGAACCAGCAACAAAAGAGCATCTGGGAAAAATGAAATCAGAAATAATTACTCAGATAACAGCAAAGATTGTGCTCATGGTGCAAGACATGATTAATAAATCTAGAGAGGACACAGATTAAAAAAATAGAGGATCTGAGGAACATGATGGAT